ACCCACTTCTTGTGCTTTGCTGAATGGACATGCAGTCAAACTGTCTTCTGACTACTTGTACCCCAGCAGAATAGTGTTGCTCTCAGCCTTGGCCGCAGCAACTTCTTTTAACTGCTTTTGTTTGGGATATTAAAGCAGCGCTCAGTGGAGCCGAGTGGCTCAGGATACAAACAACATCGTTAGAAAACAAAGGAAGTGAACGGCTATTTAGAGAGAGTGACTCTATCAGAAAGAGAGCTCAGAATGAAACTCGTTCGTACCCTGTCTATTTTTCTATTTATATATTTGTCTCTGATTAAAACTTTAAACAATTTAAAATAGCTCACAAAAGGAAGTGAAAACCACACTTCAGTTTCTTTTTTCCCAAGGACAGCCACCGCCCACCTTTTGAGACTTTTCTTTCTCAGACTGATAGAGCCCTGCAGATCTCACGTAAAACCATACAAACATTGTAGACATGCCCTCACACATACCACATACCTCACACACACACACACACACGCTTAAGTGCCACAGACCAGCTCAGGGGAGCCACTCAGACCGTGGGAGAAGCAGGGTCTTGGTAACAGGAAGGCACAAGTTCGGCAAATGACAGACAGACACAACACACAAGAGAGTGGTTGGAATCTGCTGCGATTTTACTGAATTCATGTTTTCATTATATAGTATTCAAACAAAGAACAAATCAGAAGGTCATGTATCATTGGTTGGCACAGTATGAAAGCTTCTTTTAGTCACATCAGCGATATTTAAGAAAAGTACATTATCAGGAACAGGTGTTAGACATAAAGCATCCTTAGAAGAGGAAATCTTGTCCTTGGGACTGTAAACCTCAGACAAGTGGTTTCATCTTATGAATAGAAAGTTTCTGTCTCATTATCACTATCATGGCCCTTCCTCTTCCTAACCCTTTCTTTCATCTAGTGACCAAATATGCCTAATCAGTTCTCTGCTCCTGTTGAACTATACTTTTTAGTACCTTCTTATGCAGCAGACACCATGGGGGTTGGGATCTAGCAAGCCTATCCATAAAGTTGAAAGTATAATATAACAGTCTTTGTCCATCAACATTAACTCATCTATTCCCTTGCTCATCATACACCCTGTGTATGACAAAGGTTCTGCTGTAGTCTTATACATATCCATACTGTGCTTCCTTATCCCAGAGCTGTTTCTGAAGAGAATGATCCTTGTCTTGTATATATAAAGACTATCATTATTATGAAAGAAATTGTGCAAAGCTCATATCCCACATAGCCAGCTACTCGAGAAACCCGTCTATGCCTCAGCGGTGGCTAATACCGGGCTGTCTGCCATTGACCTCCAGGAAGCCTAGTCCCATAGGACACATAGCTCCCATCCGGTATAATGACATATGTCATGTCACACAGACGACACTGGAGTTGGTGTGGCACTTAAGACCACAAAATATTCCATCTTATGAGTGTGAAGTAATATACAAATCAAGGCTGTTTTGAGGGTGTCCTGACAGTTTACAGTACTTCGCCATTATAAATACATTTGCAAATCACCCTGGCCATCTATTTTTGGACTTTCTTCAGATTTTTTTCTTAGTAAATTTTAAGTATACTATTTTCATTATAATTTTTGTTCATTCTTGTTTTTATTTTCTTTTTTATGTTTTGTTTGTTTGCTTGTTTGACATAGGGTCCTACTACATAGCCCTGGCTGTCCTGGAACTCACTGGGTAGACTAGTCTAGTGTTGAACTCACAGAGATCCATCTGCTTCTGCCTCCCAAGTGCTTGAATTAAAGGCATGCACCATTGCACCCAACTATTCTTATTTTGCTTAAGGCACAGAGTGACTCTTCCTTCTAGATGACAGTCTTTTATTACATATCTCAATGTTGAGCCTTTATGCAAGCATGATATCATTTCACTGTCTGTCTTCCAGAGTTCTGCTCCCCTAACAGACTGTCTTCCAGAGTTCTGCTCCCCGTAACAGACTGTCTTCCAGAGTTCTGCTCTCCCTAACAGGATTTTATGTGTCTTGCTATCATCGCTTTCCAAGGTGCTGTCCATCTTAGGTTGAGGGAACTTTGGATTCTTTTTGCCTCTGGCTTTCTCTCCCCTCCCTGTGGTACCCACCACTTCATCAACAATGGTTCCTGTTGATGGATTAGCATTGGGTATCAGACTGAGTTATTTGGCCGGGCTCTTACACCGCCCAAGACTGGTGCTTCTGTGGAAGACAGGAAGTGGAATACAGGGTGAGGCATGGGTTTTCCTCATTAAAAAGAAGAAGGAGGCAGATGTCAGGGGAAAAGAACTTGGTTGAACTGATAGGTTCTTTTTTCTAGGGAAGATTTTTGTTATATCAAACAATTTAGGGAAGGTTAAGACTCTTTTTAGATCTACTTCTTTTTGAAACTTTGTTTCTAGTTCATATTCTTTTAAACTTCATTTTCTCTTAAAATTATTACATTTTATTTATTTATTAAGTGTGCATGTGTGCACATGCACATGCTTGGGCCTGTGTGTTTACAGAGGAGTGTGGAGGCTGGAATTAACCTCCATGCTCTTTCTTAGCTGCTGTCCCTCTTAGTTCTGAGACAGGGTCTCTCTTTGGGACCTGGGGCTCGCTAGTTAGGTTAGGCAGGTAACTAGTGAGCCAACCAGGTAGATCCACTGTTTCTGCCTCCTCAATGCTAGCTGGGATCACCAGCACAGCTACTATGCCTGTCTATCTTGTTCTGGGCATGGGACCAGATCCTTACCTTGCAAGATGCATACTTTCTCAACTGGGCTTTCTCTTCCATCCTTAACCATAGATTTTTCTCATGCTTTCCTTTGACACTGATGCTCCAGACAGATTGTTAATCTCCATACTTCAAGCCAAGTAGGATAGGCATGTCGGTACACAGCTGTAATCCCAGCACTCAGGAGACAGAGACAGAGACAGAAGGGACATGAGTTTGAGGACAGCTTGGGCTGCTTAGAAAGACCTTGTCTCTTGAAACCAAAGCTAAACAAACAAAAATAAACTTTAAAAATAAGGGCAAAGTACAAAGGTGCAGAAATACCCTCTACGATAAGAAAAACTTCTGTTTCTAAACTCTTAAAACTCATAAGGAAGGAGGAGAAATTTGGTAATGGCAGGTCGAATGAGACTGACTTCCGCCTAACCAGATCTCGTAGGTTCTTGTTGACCCATCAGTGCTTTTGGCCGCTTTTGTACCAGTGGACATTTTTGTTCCTGCCAAGGAACATAAATGCCAAGTCCAGAAATAGATCATGTTATGAATTCCTCTACAGTGATCACAATTCATTGACTCTAAGATGGAGTCAATTACAAGATGTGTCATTATCTTATGCTTTACTAAGAATTTACAAGACTCCCTACTGCCTTGGAATGCTGATCTTCCTGAAGGGCTATGGGGACAACTTTATTCCAGGAATGCTAATACGTTTAAAAAAAAGTCTCTTAAATTAGTGAGATGGGATATTTTTCTCAATATACAGAAACAAAGAAAACTGATACCTCTATCAGGCTGATTCTTTGCTGTAAATTATTTTATTTTTTCTTTAATTGTATATATGTATCTGGATGAGGATTTATGTTTCTGAGTGCGGTGCCTGCAAGAGCCAGAAGTGGCCTGGGGCGTTACAGGCAGGTGTGAGCTGCACGAGGTAGGAAAAAGCTTGTTTCCTTATCTGAAACACTCAACGGCGTGTGAGATAGATAAGAATATCTATACTTTAGAATTCTATTTACCGAGTTGGAAGAGTAGCTCGCTGGTAAAGTGTCTGCATGGTGTATACAGAACTGTAGGTTCAATCCCCCACTCTGGAAACATCTATCCACCAAATATGGTATTTCCAAAAGCAAATCTTCCCCTATTGTGTTTTAAAAGAATTCCTAGTGTTTTACTTTTTATTCCCCAAGTAAAGCAATCAAGTGCCTGCATTGCTAACCCCACCAAGGCATGGTGAAGCTTCTGTCCTAACACCTACAGATTTGTCAGCAAAAGCTTCTGGTTTCCACTGGAAGATTCCACTATAGTGTAGAAGTGGATTTCACCACCTAACATTGCCTCTGAGTTAAAGTCTAAAGCTCTGCTCCACTCAACGCATTCCTGACCGTGCCAGGATATCCAGGATATCTGAGTTTCTATTTCTTCTGTTCTCTGGTCAAGGTTGATCAGCGACCTTGGGCTTCAAGACAAATGAAATTCTACCTGAGCAGTTTGTGAGTAATATTGTCGGCTGTGTACAAAGGACTATGTGTTGTGAACAGTTGCCCACAGTCTGGCCATCTTATTCTAGGTGACCTTTAGTAGGCCTCCTTCCATTTATTTTACCTTGTAAAGTTTTGCATAATTGAGATTGTCTTTATGCGTCACTCAGAATCATGTTATGCAAAATACGCTGCTAAAGGCTTTAAGCCAGTTGACAGTGTTAGTCTGCATATGTATTAGCTGTTCCCTTATGCATTGTTACTTGGGTCGTATCTATTTTATTTCTGCAGTTCTAAATATTGTCAAAATGAACATTTCTGTCTGCAAACCCTTAAAGGATGTCATGTTTTAATGAAAGTAACTTGTATTGTTAAATTCCTTTCAAGAGAAAAAGAGGTGAAGACAATTTGTAATTAAACCAAAGAACGAAGGTTAAATATGGGAGGGAATGGATGAGTTTATAAATACAATGATATTAAATATAATATATTATATTGATTTAACATTAAACATTATAAAGATAAAAATGTCATGTATTGTATTTAAATACTATTGTAATAGTGCTTTGTTAGTCCAAAATTGAATTAAGACATGAAAGCATTCGGTTGCTGATGACAGTTTCGGGTGTGTCTGGACCCAGGGATCTATCGTCTTCTGCAGAATGGTGCCTGTTTCTCTTCCATGCATATCCTTGTCTCGCTCCCATAAGTGGTAGGTACGCACAGATAGGGCTATGTGCTCTGAAAACCAAACAGACATTGCTGTTTTTGTTTTTGCTTTCTCTCTGGACTGATTCCCAGGACCTCTCTTGCACGTGCGCTTTGCTTCCTCATCCAGCAAGACTGGCACCAGCAGAGATGCAGACACAGAAGGTCCCAGGGAGGAAGCGTGGCCGGCCTCCCCTTCACTCCACACCAGTGCAGATGGCAGTCCATAATCTTTATTCTGCGTCTGCGGGCTCTGTACCGGCAGTGACGATCCCGAAGAAGAGAGGGCGGAAACCCAGGTACAAGGTATGCCTCCACTATCTCCTTCTCTTCAGTCGTCTCGGGCTGGGACACTGGGGGATTGGGCAGAGCCTGATGCAAAAGGCTATGGAAGGCAGGAGCCTGGGTAAAGACAGGCTAGGAAATAATGCGGCATGTGACAGACCAGGTCTCACCGATTGTGATGACACAGCACACGTGCTCTTGCGTGCTCTTTTCTTTTTCTCTTTTGTAACAAGTGGAGAAAGCGAATGACACCAGAAGGGGAAGCTATAGGGCATGCAGATTCTAGGCTGTTCGTAAACATGCGTTATTACACTTACATCTACACGGGAGTTCCAAACACTCACCTGTCCCCTGTGGTTCCGGAAGCCACTTCTAGAACTTACTTTCCATCTGCCTTAGCAGAAGCCAGTGCTATTCCTGAGACATTTAAAGTAAGGCTGTGAGCAGGCCAATGTCAGAGCAGAGGATGCAGAAAAGGCTCCCCAGACAGAGGCTTAGCAAGGGATGCTAGGGTGTCCATTATCATTTCCTACTTTAAAAAGATACTGCTGTCAAGTTTGGCTGCAGAGAGGCAGATCCATGGCCATCAGGATCCTGGGATTATCTTAAGGACTAACAATATGGTGAGGCTGTGGATGGGGAGCAGGTTTGATGACGTGATCCCAATCCTATAACCCAGCCTAAACCCAGCAGCCAGCCCCTGTGCTATGACCGATCATGAAGGGACTGGATACTCGAGGGAAACAGAGAAAAGAGTGTCGGGCTTGTCCTCTGCAGGCCTTCGGGCTTTCGGGGAAGAACACTAGTAGCTGTCTTCCACCTGTTTCTCTGGAAACAAAAGCTGGAGTTTCCATCCTGAGGCCCAGATACTGCAACCAAAATGCAAATTGGCAATTAACTCCCAAGCATTAGGAAAATGTGTGGAGATTATTCCAGGTCAGCAGAAAGGGCTTGTGGAAGAGCAGGAAATGAACTCAACCTTTATCCCTCCCCTCTTCTCAGTCCTTCCAAACGCCAGGAAGAGGGGAAAAGACAGTCATAGGGGAAAGGCTGGCTATCCAAAATTACGCGAGGCTTATTTGCTTTAGCTTTTTTGAGATTTTATTTATTTTATTTAACTTGTATGAGTGTTCGCCTAAATGCCTGTGCACTGTGTGTGTGCCAGGCCTTTAGAGGCCAGAAGAGGGTGCTGGATCCCCTGGGACTGACGTTACAGACAGTGGGGAAATGCCCCCTGGTTGGGAACTGACCTTGGTCCTCTGCAAGAGCAACCAGTGCTCTTAATGGCTGAGCACATTTCTAGCCCCTTATTGTCTTTGCTTATGTGTGTGTGGAGGGGATTGTCTGTGTGCGGGTATGTGCGTGTATATGCAGGTGCCCACAGAAGCCAGAGGCATGGGCTTCTTCTGAACCTGAGTTCCAGATAGTTGTGAGCCACCTCATATAAGTGCTAGAAACAGAATTTGGGTCCTGTGCGAGAGCAGCGTGTTCCCTGAACTGCTGAGCCACCTCGCTAGCCCACAGTATTTAAAATGTTGTTCCAGACAGAATTTCTCTGTGTAGCTCTGTTTTTCCTGGACCACACTCTATAGGCCAGGCTGGCCTTGAACTCAGAGAGAACCACCTGCCTCTGCTTCTGGAGTGCTGGAATTATAGGTGCACTCCACTGTTGCCCATCTTAAAACAGATTTTAAAACTCTTCTTAACCAAAAGAAGTCAAAGTCTTCTGTCAGGGTATTTTCTGACAGGAACCCCTCTTATCCATGATAGTGTGGGCTTTGGATGTATATGTCTGCTCTCAGAAGCTGGTCTGGGTACCTGTGCCTGCCTGTTACCTGCTCAGGTACCTGCGCCATTGCTGGAGTCTGGTGATTGCAATGGGAGGGCTGGAACAGGGCAGACATTCTGTTTCACAGAGCCAGGGAGCAAGCCCAAGCTCTATGGGAGCATACTTAAGCTTCGTTGGCCTTCTTCCTGGTCCCCTGGGGACGGTGTCCCAAGAACGAAAATTACAAACAGACACGGAATTTCTTGGGCCAAGAAAAATGGCCATTCATCCCATGGAACAAACCCTGTTCAAAGCAAGCAGGTCTGTTCCCCCTTTCCCAAGAATTTCTTTTGTGGAGACAAAAGTCCACAGTTCTCTTTTGAGTCTACTTCCCAGATAGTTAGGAAAAGGCATGAACTTTATCTCAGGCCACACATCCCCAGACAATGCCCCAAGCCTTAAGCTGGTGCCCTAGAATAATACTTCCCATCCAGTGTCTGTGTGACCGTCACCCATCTGTGGTGGAAGAGCCAGGTGAAGCTTTCACAGAGCTGAAGTGGTTTCCTCAAAAGATTACCCTTTATTCTAAAATCCATGTTGGTGAGAGGAGGTTGTTATCAACACTGACAGGTGCTGGGGATTTAAAATCTTCTCAGTCTGCAAAATTAAGTTGGTACCTGGCCCCCTAGTTTGTTTTGGCCATTTCCCAGTTCCTGACACCCATTTTACTGCTGATGACAGGGCTCTAACTGTGGAAGAGCCAGCAAGCAAATTGTACAGTTTCACCTCACTTACCAAATGGCCACTAATTCGGCAATTCAGTATCTGGGACATAGTAGAGGAGCCAGAGGTTGTTTTTTCTTTTCTTTTTTTTTTTTTTCAAAAAAAAAAAAAAGCCTGACTAAGCAAAGGACGGTCTAAATTGGTACAACCTTAAAGAGCTTGTATTTTATTACTAAGAAAATGTGTCTGAGACTTGGACACAGTGGCACAGGTCTGTATTCCAAGTTGTCTGGAGGCAGGAGGATTCTTTGAAACCAGGGACTTGAGACAAGGCAACCAAGTAGTACCCTGTCTCAGATGAATAAACAGATAAATAAATCGCTGACATTAAAGAAGGAAGCGGATGTGTTGGGACGAGGAAGGGCTCCAGAGGGAGCACGGGAGGGCAGGAGGGGTGAATAGGATCAAAATGAATTACAGACAAGTATGCAATTGCTAAAGAATCAACAAAAACTACCTTTAAAAAAAAGGAAAGGGAATTCTCCTGTGCCCTCCATCAAAGGCTCTGTAAGTTCAGTTCTAGTAGTTTCTACCATCAGACATGAAGCAGAGGCAGTTGCTGTGGGAAGATACTGAAGGGGTGGCAAGAACTATTTCTACAATCTGACAATGTATTAATACAAGGGACACTACTTTCACTATTACAGAACGGCAGTTTCACTAGTGACATTGTAGTAGTGATCACTGGTATCAGGGACAGTGATCAATGGTGATAGTGATCAATCAGGCTTTGAATTCCTAGGCTGTCTCTTTCTTCTGACTGTCCTGGGCCTGTGCCTGCTGATGCCACCCCAGCAACTCGGCCAGCTTCCTCTGCCCCTGCAGCTCTCTCTGGCCTGAGAACCACACAGGCGTCTCTCTTCTAGACTTGAGCCTCATCGACAGTAGGACATTTGACTGCTTCTGAGATTCAGGCTAACACGGGCAAGTTGCAGGCAGAAAAGGAAGGGCCAAGCTGGAGGTCAGATGTCAGTCGTCTGGAGCCCAGAGTCCACGCTCCATCCCAGGGCCCCTCTGACTGAGCTTCCTGTAGCCTCGGGCCTCCTGCTGCCTTATTACTGGGGTCTGCTCACCACTGAGCCTTGCTGTCCACCGTCATTTTCCAGTCTTTGTGTTTTGTCCCCTAGTCCTCCTCCTCTCTGTCTCTCTGTCTCTCTGTCTCTGTCTCTCTCTTTCTGTGTCTCTCTCTTTCTGTGTCTCTCTTTCTGTGTGTCTCTCTCTCTGTCTCTCTGTCTCTTTCTCTTTCTCTCTCTCTGTCTCTTGTCTCTGTGTGTGTCTCTCCTCTCTCAGTATCCACAGGATACATCATTCTTCACTGTTTTCTTCTTGGCTTCTGGTGTCAGGAGATGACATCTCTCTTCCCCACCCCAGGAAGAATCTCAGCTCAGAGCTGGCAGGAGAAACCTCAGCCTTACCCCTTACCCATTTGTGTCTCTGAAAAGTATGGCCTTCCCACTCCCTGCTGATTCCACCCTGATGCCTGTAGCACATTGTATTACACAGTTTTATTTCCTTGGGTAAGTGCTGAGGCAAAACTTGTTCAATTAGGATGCCAGATTTGATGGAAGCCAAGGTCCAACGATACAGCCCCTCTGCCTCTTGGGGGCTGATGTTCTCCCGGATATGAAAAGGCAACTGTGGGTCCAGCAGGCTCACCCCCAGGAATGGAATCACATATACGTCTCATTGGAATCATTTTGCATTTTACCAGGCAAGTTTTTAGAATACAGTCTGAAGTTAAACACGGTGAATGATCCAATTTCTCTAGCTGTACTTTCCGATGCTCTCCCCTTGCCACCCTGAGGGAGTTTTGAACGTACAAAGAATGTGCATGCCAGGATGAAAGAAATGGGTCCTCAAGGAACGTGTGGGGCGGGAACACAGACGAAGCTATCCTTGCTCTGGCTACTCCGGAACAGCCACCAGCAGCAGTGCCCTGGACGAGCTGTCACCTTCCTGTGTGACCGAGGTTTTGAACTTCAGGAAAAGACACCAGCTATAGACCTATCAGGGCTGTTGGCTTTGAAGGCCAAGGCTTAGTCCGGGCAGAGATCTCGGCAGCAGGCCTCGGGCTCCCCCCCCCTACCGGGTGCTGCCAGGAAGAGGCCCTCTTTACCCCTCTACATCATCACCCCACTCACCATTCAACAGATTCTGCGTTTAATATTTGCAGTAGGTTCTCTGCTTTGTACTAGACATTCTCACCCCCCCCCCATACACAGCTCCTAACTCCTCCACTGTTAGCATCTTACACTACAACAGCAATTGTCACCAACAGCAAACTCATAATCTACTGTCATAGGTCAGGCCCATACTTCATTCTAATTGTATGGACGTTTCTCTGATCTGTTCCGGGTCCCGTCCAGCACGACCTCAGATTCCGCCATCGTGTTTTCTTAAGCTCCTCTGTCTCTGGAAGTTGCTCAGCTTTTCCTTACTTTTTGATGGTGAACGGCTTTGAGGAGTTTCATAGGTTATAGAGTTGTGCTCTCTAGTGTTTCCCCAGATGTTAGACTGGGTGTGTGGGGACCACAGAGGCACAGTGACATCTCCGTCTAACCATATCAGAAGCACAGACTGTCCGTACCACTGCTGATGTGGCTTTGGATCCTGTGGCTAAGGTGACATGTGCCAGGTGTCCCCTCTGTTTCCACATGGCAGTATTTAGAAGGAATTCATCATGCACAGCCCTTCCTTGAAGACGGAGTTGTGCTCGCCTCCTAGAGAGGGCTGGAGGTTTGCTCATGAGAGATTTATTTGTTCCTCTATTTATCTACTTTGTCAGTCATTTACTTAAGGTTGGTGGACTTGTGAACATTTATTACGTATATACTTTATGCTATAATAATACACTGGTGCTCATAGTGGTCCAGACTCATCCACTGGAAGTTTTTTTCAGTGGGCACCTTGCTCCTTAAGATACTCCGGTCACTAGTGGTTTTGCTGATGTCTTGTTACCTCTTCCAGCTTACTCTGTATGCTCTCTGTCTTAGGAAATGGACCATCCATTTCTGTTAGAAGTCCCAGTCTTTTTATTGAGAAGGACATTAGAAACCAATATATGAGCATTACACTTTATTTTGTCTGTTAAAACAGCCAAATAAACAAATCAATATTTTAAAAAACCGAAAGCAAGAACAGCAAAGACAAATTACCCATCCCGCCCCCCGAGAGCAGCTTGTGTTGGCTGAGGAAGAGGTCCACATCGTGTCACAGAGGAAGTGCTGCAATCCGTGTCCCCCCATCTCCAGCCTCTTCTAATCGTGTGGCTCCCTCATAAATGCTAGCCCTCATTCTTACAAGCTTTCCTTACTACTGAGTTCTCTCCAGCGGGCTGTTTTTTAGCTCTTTAGATTAGGCAGTAAAAACTTAAATTTATGAACACCGAGTTAATTTTGATTGTATTTCACTCCCTTATAAAAATCCCATTTTTAAAATATCGTGGCCTCCTATTCTAGTCTAGTTTTGATTGCTGTAACAGAAGAGCAGTGGCTGCATGATTCATAAAGAATGAGCCTTTCTGTCTGGGGTGTAGCCAGTTGTAGGATGTTTGCCTAGTGGGCACGATGCCCTGATTACACACACGCGCACGCAGATATACAGAAACACACACACACAGATATACAAACACATACACACATACACATACACACAGATATACAGAGACACACAGACACACACAGATACACAGATATACAAACACAGAGAGAGAGATACAGAGACACACAGACACACACACAGATATACAAACACATACACACACAGACAGAGATATACAAAGACACACACACACAGATATACAAACTCACACACACAGATATACAAACACAGAGAGAGAGATACAGAGACACACAGACACACACACAGATATACAAACACATACACACACAGACAGAGATATACAAAGACACACACACACAGATATACAAACTCACACACACAGATATACAAACACAGAGAGAGAGATACAGAGACACACAGACACACACACAGATATACAAACACATACACACACAGACAGAGATATACAAAGACACACACACACAGATATACAAACTCACACACACAGATATACAAACACAGAGAGAGAGATACAGAGACACACAGACACACACACAGATATACAAACACATACACACACAGACAGAGATATACAAAGACACACACACACAGATATACAAACTCACACACACAGATATACAAACACAGAGAGAGAGATACAGAGACACACAGACACACACACAGATATACAAACACATACACACACAGACAGAGATATACAAAGACACACAGACACACACACAGATATATACAAACTCACACACACAGATATACAAACACATACACATACACACAGATATACAGAGACACACAGACACACACACACACACACACACACACACACCACCACCACCACCCCACAGAGATAAAGAGGATTAACTAGTTCACAGTCCTAGAGGCACAAGCACATAGTGAGGCCTCCTGGCAGAAGATATGCTAGTGTGAGCAGATGTGGAGGGCCCATGAGTCACCTGGGGAAATAGGAACTTAGGGGAGGGGTGGGCAGTCACTTTTTTTGTTCTCAGTTTCTGTTGTTGTTGTTTGGAGTCTCTTTATGTAGCCCTGGGTGGTGACGGATTAAAGGTATATGCTCTCATACCTGGCCAGTCTCCCCACTTTTAAAACAACCTGCTCTCATGGAGGCTAACTGACTTCATGAGTCAAAATCAATTCTTTCCCAAGGTGATCCCCCCCCCCCAATGGCCTAATCACCTCTCGAAGGTTCTAGCATCTCTTAATGTATTGAGGGCCAGGCCGCTAGTATATAAGCCCCTGGGGACACATCCACAGTGCTGCCCACAGCTTACAGAAGATTCCTGTTTTGTTTTAAAATCCCAGCATCTGTAGAGGCCGGTGTCTTAGTCGGTGCCCTTTTGCTTTTAAGAGACACTATAACCACGGCAACTCTTATAACAGAAAACATTTAATTAAGGCTGGCTTACAGTTTCAGAGGTTTAGTCCATTATCAGCATGGCAGGAAGCATGGCTGCATGCAGGGAGACATGGTGCTGGAGAAGTAGCTGAAAGTTTATATTTGGACCCACAGGCAGCAGGGAGGGAGAGACTGGGCCCTTGAAAACCTCAAGCCACCTTCAGTGACACACTTTTCCCAGCAAGACCACACCTCCTAATCCTTTTAAATAGTGCCTCCCCCCATTCTTTCAAATAGTGCCTTTCCCTAGTAACCAAGCTTTCAAATCTATGAGCCCATGGGAGCTGTTCTCACTCAAACCACCACTGAGGGGAAATAAGGAAGTTTTCAAGGCAGGGTTTCTCTATGAGCCCTGGCTGTCCTGGAACTCCCTCTGTAGACCAAGCTGGCCTTGAACTCAGAGATCCACCTTCCTCTTCCTCTCCAGTGCTGGGATTAAAGACATGAGCCACCACTGCATAGCAGAGGAAGCTTTTCTTTTCTTGCAGCCATCTGACTCATCTGATCTCTATGATTGCTTCATTTAGACAGAAATGATAAATAGAAATGACAGCTAATTGTAATACTATGACTTTTTTTAAAAAATAGGTTCAGTGGATAAATCCAACATTAATAACTATAACAGAAAACAAACATGAGATGTTAGGGTTGTTATGTAGTTTGTGAGACTGAGATTTCAGTAATCATTGTCATCACGATTATCACCATCATCATCGCCACCACCATCATCATCATCATCACTACCATCACCATCATCATCACTACCATCATCATCAACAACACTACCATAATCATCACCATCATCACCATCATCATCACCACCATCATCATCCTTAGGTCATCATCATTACCACCATCATCAGCATCAGCAACATCAACACCACCATCAAGACCATCATCACAACCACCACCACCACCACTGCTACCAGACATTCTAGGAAAGGAGCAAGTAGACCTTCATGTTGATTTACTTGAAAGCCACAGGCAAATAAATCATAATTTTCCAATTTTGTTCTCCTGATGGGCTTTTGGGTTGCTCATGTAAACTATAATATCATCAGCAAATAGTAAGAGTTCGACTTCAGGATGTAAAGCTCTCAGCTACTGCTCTAGTACCATGTCAGCCTGCTTTCTGCCATGATGATCATGGGCTAACCCTCTAAACTTATAAGCAAGCCCTCAGTTAGGTGCTTTATTTGATAAGAGTTGCCTTGGTCATGGTGTCTCCTCCCAGCAGTAGAGGACATTCATTCACGACAATGAATCCACAGTATTTGCATGACTCTTTCTCCATCACTATTATTAGTCCATCCTAAAAGTCTAGAAGAAACTTAGATGTAGACGCATATTTATTAACAATGGGACATAGCACCTGGCTGTCCAAAGTGTACTTGTGGATTTGCAGAGACAACCCACCTGGAGGCTCTTAAGGATTGTAGACTCCTACCCCAGAACTCAGAATCAAAACCTGCATTGTTATGAGAACCACAAGAGGTTGTTTGAAAAAGTTGAAGACCTTGGGGATTGAGCAATTGCTCTTGAACAATATGCACACACTGAAAATTTTTGAAACTTTGGAAACTCCTGATGCTTAGGGTCCTGCTCTTGTAAACTGACTTGATTCTTCTGACGTGGGTCCCCCACAGAAGTCACTGGTGTTTTATGCCACCTTCAAACTGCACCTACCCTCTGTCCCCATGTACCCCCTACAGCTTTCCATTACTCTGACCCAACCTAGTGCCAGGTGTGAAGTGGCCTATTGACCCATTATCATTGGCTGGCCTTTGCCTATTCCATTAGCGCAAATTCCATCTCCTTGTGTGTGGTTCCAGGGGAGACCTTCATAGTGGTGGCTGCCCATTCCTGTCCCATCCAGATTGTGACTGACAGCCTGCCATAGGAAGGAGAATGCTTAGCATGCGGTGAGCTCATCAGAGAGCAAGGAGAGCCTCATGGTCCATCTCCTGGTGGATACAGTGGAAGCCCCGTGGCCAGGATCTACAGAGTGCAGAGGTGTGAGCAGGGCACTGCCCTGGATCTGCATCCTGTTCTCAGGGGCATCCTGGGGTTTAACCATTCGTGCCTCCGTTTGTTCCGACACCCACTCCCTGGTGCTGTCATTTCCTGGGTCGTACCAAGGTAGGGGTGAAGAGCAGAGCTATCTTCTGGCTATAATCTAATTACAAATTTTGCACGTGAACTTGAATCCGAAGCTCCTTTCCCAAAGCTGAGCAGGAAAAAGATGCAGATGTGAGAAAGAGTGCTGAGAATTAGCAGACATCCAGGAAAGACCGGGGTGGTGTGGGGAGCATTTCTAGACGTTCACTGCTTACATAGACTCTCTTGCAGATCAAGCCCCCCGTGCTCATGACTCCCTTGGCTCTATCACCTCCACGGAGTACCCCAGAACCCGACCTCAGCTCCATCCCTCAGGATGCAGCCACCATCCCCAGCTTGGTGGTCCCACAGGCTCTCACAGGTATGTCAACAGAATGGACTTCAAGGTGGAAATGGTTTCCTAGTACCAGGGTGTCTTTTCATCTAACAGTTACTTTATAAGTCTAAGAATTTCTCTGAGATATTTTACAAGGTGTGGCAGTGCACACCTTTAATCCCAGCACCCGGCACTGGAAGCAAAGGCAGGTTGATCTCCGGGTTCTATGTCAGCCTGGCCTACAAAGTGAATTCCGGGACAGCCAGGGCTGCACAGAGGAACCCTGTTTCTAACAAAAAGAAATGTTTCCCTGAGACAATCCAAAGAAAGACCTGGCGTGGTAGCTGGTCTCTGAAAGTGTGTGTTTGGTTATTTATAACTGTTTTCTGTGAATGTTGGGTTCCGCTGGTTTCTTTGGAGTAGGCAGGTAAGAGCAGTGGCCACATCTGAGTGTGCTCGCTTGAGTGTGTCTGTTTTGCATTTGTATTTCCAGTTGCTACCACATGCCCCAAAATAGTGTAGCACCCATTCCAATCTTTCTTTCTCTTTGATGATGATGATGTAGCCCAGGCTGGCCTCAAACTCACAGAGATCCACCTATCTCTGCCGCCCAAGAGCTGGTATTAAAGGTGTGCACCACTACTGCCTGGCTCACACCATGCTTTTTATTGGTGCAAGCTCACAGGGAAATGGCCTCCAGTCCTTGGGGGAGCAGAGAAAGATTTGGTCATAGAGCTACTCAGATGGAAATACCTTCATATACACTGTCCATGTGAGCCAGAGTAATTGTCTTCTGTAGAGTTTTACCCAGTAAGAGGGCACCCAGCTATCCCTCTGCCCGCTGCCAGGAGGTCACGCTGGAACACGTTCTGACAATTGGGAAGTACAGTTTTTTTTAGCCTTTCTACCTTGCTAGATATCTCACTTCTGCTCTTCTCTGCACCCACAGTGTGCCTCTACATTAACAAGCAGGCTGATGCAGGTCCCTACCTGGAGAGGAGGAAGCTGCAGCAGCTTCCTGAGCGCCTGGGGCCTGAGCGGCCTGCAGCTGTCCTGCAGCAGGCGGTGCAGGCATGCATAGACTGTGCGCACCAGCCAAGGCTTGTCTTCTCCCTTGTCAAGCAGGGCTACCGTGGCGAACTGGTGTCAGGTAAGGCGTGGAGGTGCGGGAGGTATACACATGGTCTCTCTGTGTAGCCACTTCCAAGTGGGGACAGTGGGTGTGGCCAGAGACTGTCCTTCCACTGCTAGGCTCCAGGGCCTCTGAGCCTGGGAGCAGAATGCATCCCTTGGGACAATTACCTGACCTGGGGAGCAAGAATGAACTCCTGGAGCCTCACCCTTGACTCCTCCCCTTTCCCCCCCACTTCCAACACCGTGCCTCTGCCTTCAAGCGTATCCACAATGCATTCCCAACCACAGTGGGTTTTAAGATAAGACCATGCTTGATCTTTGCCCTAAATCCTCCATAGGTTCTTATGTCCAAGTGAAAACCCTTATCTTCACAAGGCCCATAGGCCTACGTGAACTGCTCCCTGCTCCCTCTCCAAACTCAGGGTCACTTCTCTCTCCCATATCCAGCTTAGGTTAGATGACTTCTTTGCTATGTTTCCTACACCCTTTGACTGCTCTCTCACCTCAGGGCCTTTGCTCCTGCTGACTTGTTCTTCTGGAATATTTTACCCTGGTGGTCCATGCTACAGGCTCCTGAAAACCCTTTTTGGCTTCTACTCAAATGCTGCCTTATCGGAGTCCTCTCTTCTGGCCTTGATCGGAATACCAGGCCTTCTTTACTCTGCCCATTTTCCATAGTACTCACAACCATGGAGGACAACTGGGGAGGGCTCCCAATTCAACCCACCTCAAGGGGACACCTCTTTAGACGGGGTCACAGCCCTGTTGAAGCCCCACCTGCCAGCTCCCAGAGGAGCCATTTGCCTACAGAACGCAGAGTTCTGACTCTTTCAAACCCTTTGCTCTTCTATCCCACACTACCCAACCCTTGTCGCTACCTGGACTTCAGTTTTGGAGAGTCAAGCTGCTGTCTTCCTGCTCGGCATCGTGGCTATGGCCTTCCTTAGCAGCAAGGAAAAGGCAGATTTCCTGGCAACGGGCCTGCCTGGTTAGTTAAGAAGGAGTCAGGGAAGAGGTCATGGGGATGCCTGGATTCCCAGAACCACACAGGTGGAGGCAGGAGTGTCTTGAGTGTGCAGCCAGGATGGGGTACGCAGAGAGTTATAAGACATTAGTGCTACAAAGAGAGAGACTGTCTCAAAAACTAAAGAAAGGAGAGAAGGAGGAGGGGAGGAGGAGAAAAGAGGAGGAGGGAAAGAGAAGGGGCAGAATGAAGAAAGGAGACATGGGTAGGGTCAAGGGCATGTGTCTGACATGGTGATATTTAAGGGCTTCAGCAGACGTACCAACAAGAAGATACGCGAACAAGGGAGAGGAGGAGACTCTAGTCCCAGGCCTCCTGGAGTTCCTCTGCTGTTCCACCTCCCTTCTTCCTTGAACCATCCTCTTACCTTGTTCCTTGCTACATAGTAGGGCTCAAGACATAGATCTGGGGTTGAGGGAGGGCCCTTCTCTCTGCCCTCCTTCTCAATGATGCCGCTTGTCCTAGAGGCTCTGTGCGCCCTGCCCTTGAGCTGGGAGAGCTGGTCCTGAGCCTGGCTTTCCTGCTCCCCCTTTCTGTAACCTCAGGGCCTCAGCATTAGGGGGAAGCAATCCCAGGATGGATGACTTTTGGAGTTCCCGTGGGCTGAGGGCATTCCCAGGGACTACTTTCCTGCTGTGGGGTAACTTTTCATGTTAGAGTTGGAGCGAGATGTCCAACAAGGATACAGGACAGCATCCATGTGGCCCAGAAAGGGGCGGGGATGGGGAGAGGACTCAGGAGAAACAGCAGGGTACCCACTCTACATTTAGAAGCTGATCCCCAAAGCCCTGCTCCCCGAATACCCCACAGCATAGCACACAGTACACAGAAGTTTGTCACATGGATGCTGGCAGGATCAAGGAAGAACCCAAGGGTGAGAGGTGGTTTCTGGACTCCAGACACTCTGAGGGTTGGCGGGAGCAGCATCCTAGAGCTGCACGATCCCTCCCAGAGATCCTGTTAGGGTGCTCTGCCTTAGCCACACCCCCAAAGGGAGACTTTATGAACTCAGGAGTTCTACATCCTCTTGAAAGAGATGGGATTTCCCCCATGTATGCAATCCCATGAATGCTTACAGAATACATATGTGATTGAATGGGTAGACCTGAGGTTCCGAGGCTCTCCCACCTTGGGGCTAGTCTCTGTATCACCCAGCATTTTAAGACAGTGCCTATACTAATCAGGGGTTTGCAAAGTATCTGGAACAGGCATAATGACAGCTCTGTGGCTAGAGCCTGGATCAGAGCCACTTTAGATTTCAGATGAAAGACAAGTGCCACACGGAAGCCGCACGAACTGAAAAATCCAGTCTAGGATTCTCCTCAGCTTCATCTTCTGTAACACAGGACATCAGCCCCAATCCTCATAGGCCAGCAGGAGGCCTGTGTGGAAATGAGTTCCACAGGCCTTAGCAAACCAAAAGGCACTACATGTAAGAGATGGAATCTTTTGGTGTCTGGTTATAATAAAGACTAGCAGTGGTAGCTCCTGCCATCTGCCAAGCTTCAGGGGTTATGATGCAAGTCAGCAGGCTGCCTGCTAGGGTTGCTGGGAGTGGGGGAAGCCTGGGTCAAAGCTGGGTCAAAGCAGGAGGTCCTCTCTGAGGTGTCTTTGTGTATCCCTCGCACTGTAGCTGATGTGCAGATCTGGGGTGAGGGGCTGTGAGGAGAGAGACAGGACAAACTCTGCACAGTGCTTCAGGAAACTGACGCCACTTCTCAGTTTGGACTTCTCAGTTTGGTTACTATCCAGAGCTGGAACTCAGTGTTGCTCTAAAGAGCCCCCCTCTCTTTTAAATATTTATTTTCGTTTTATGTGCATTGGTGTTTTGTCTGGATGTATACATGTATGAAGAGTGTCAGACTCCCTGGAACTGGAGTTACAGACAGTTGTGAGCTGCCATGTGGGTGCTGGGAACAGAACCCGGGCCCTCTACAATAACTGCCAGTGCTCTTAACCATTAAGCCATCTCTCCAGCCCTGAATTAAAGACTCTCCTCTTGAGGGCTTTCCTTGAAACACCCCCTCCCCCCCCCCGGGGTCCTCTGGTGGCAAATACATTGAATTGGAGACTTCGGGGCGAACTCTGGTGTCTGTGTCTATCTCTTCCTTCAGACACGGTCAGAGATGGACTCTTGGGTGGGAGCAGCAGCAGATATGTAATCACACCAGGAGAGCACACTCATGTTCACACTGTCAACCCTCTGCCCACTGGGACGGTTCACAACCGCTGACCCCCGGGAGCAGTGACCCCTGGGAGCAGTGAGCTCACCCGACTCTCTAGTGGCTTTCTCTGCATCCCTCAGAGGAAGCAGGACCTTGGAGAATCGCCAATGGCAGGGCTGGAGCAGGATGGTCCTGGGATGCACCGAAGTGCCCCAAACCAAAGAGACACAGGAGTCAACCTCATTGGAGCTCCAGAAATGAAAGCTGGAACCATTGGCATTAGATGACAAACGGCCTTTGACAACCCCGGACATAAAACGTGTGTTCCGGAGTCACATCAAGCTTAGCAAAACGACTGAATCAAAAATAAAGGGGCGAGATGGGGCAATCTTTCCTTACAGAGGAATTGGATGTGGGATTCGCTGCTGTTCTAGACAGGAAGTAGGGCTGAACACCCCCGAGACCCTTGGAGATGGCAGGTTTAGTGACTTGGTGACCCAGACTTAGTGACTGGGCCCAGGGACCAGAATATGGAGAACAGAGAGGGTATGGTACACATTGGCTCCGCTAAGTGTGGAAGATTCACGCTGCAGAAGTGCCCTGTGGGTATGACATGGCCTGGGTGTGGTGTTCCGTGAAGGGTTCTTTGTCTCCATAGTCTTTCTCTCCATCCCCAATCCCACGATTCCAGCTGTGAGAAAAAGTATGAGCCAGATGCAATGGAGAGGCAGGTTTCCCAATATCTGAGCAGAGCTGGTCGGGGCTGCAGCCGCAATCATGAAAAGCAAGGACAGGGAGACGAACTGTTATGGACCAAGGAGGCAAGGGGAATGGACAACGAAAGCAGTGTGCTGCCCTGGGTGGCACCCCAGGACAAAGACAGGATTATCGAGACTTCCAGTGGAACCCCATAGAGCCCAACTACAAATAAAAGGGAAATGAATTGCCCTTCTCCACTTCCTGTGCCCAGCTCTGAGTTCCTATTTCTGGTTTTCCAGTCTCTGCTTCCTTTGATGGAAAACAGCACCTGAGGAGCCTGCCCGTGGTCAACAGTGTGGGCTATGTCCTCCGCTTCCTGACCAAACTGTGCCGTAGCCTCCTGTGTGACAACCTCTTCAGTCACCTGCCCTACCCTGGGAGCCTCAGTGCCTCCGAGAAGACCCAGGAGAGAGAGGATGGGAGACCCGAGTCAGGTGAGAGGGGCTGCTTTGTCCTGCTGCGGGGGCCTCCCTCGTGGTCAGTAGATGAGGCCGCTGCTGAGGGGCGCTGCTGTCCTTAGAGGCCCAGACCCATCTCTCTGGACTCCCAGCTGCATGGAACTCAGGTGTCTAGACTGTTTCCATCCGATACTTTCAGGAAACGTGGTGTCTCCAGCTCCTGGGAGCTGACACCCTAGCCTTGCAGCCTGTGTGCTTAGAATTTAGACCGTGATACCAGGTTACACCTTCCGAGTGGTCTTCCCCTGCTGTCAGGGAACTCTGGTAACTTTGTCCTTGTTGAGTAGTCGTAGGACTGTGAAACCAAGGAACTAAGCAGTCCCAAAGAGGGTAGGCTGATGGACAGATGTAGTCTTCCTGTGTGTAGTGTCCCAGGGGTATCTGCTTAAAGAAAGCTATACGACCAAGATGCTACACTGTAAGACTCTGATTGGGCCATGCATCGCACACGCCTTCCTTTGAGAGCTGGTGTTTACCTCTTAGCACAGGATGGAAAGTAACCAAAGGTTGAGGAACTTGGGTATCACAGCCACAGAATAACCCAGGCTGAATTAAAAATGGCCAGAGGGTGGGCCAGGAAGGTCAATGCTTCAGCCTTGTCCACCTCTGTAGACACTAATGGCAGGTAGAGTCCTTAGCAATGTAGAGTGATGGATTAGGAGGTGTGGTCTTTTTGAAGGAGGTGCATCACTAGGGTGGGCTTTGAGGATTCAGAAAACACATGGTATTCCCAGGGTGGCGTCCTGCTTTCAGTCTGAGAAGTGAGCTTTCGCTTTTCCTGCCACCATGCCTTTGGACTCTACATTCTGAAACCATAATCCCAGTTAAATGCTTTCTTATACATGCTGACTTCGTCATGGTGTTCTATCAGCAATAGAAACTAAGAAATAGTTCTCAGTAGTTGGCTAGGCTGGCTAGCCAGCGTGTGTGTGTGCGAGTGCACTTGTGTGTGCATTCATGTATGTGTGTTCGTGTGTGTGTGCATATGTGTTTGTGTGAGTGTGTTTGTGTGAGTGTGTTTGCATAAGTGCCCTGGTGTGTGTCAGTGCACTTGTGTGTGCACATGTGTGTATGTGTGTCTGTGTGTGTTTGTGTATATACGTGTGTTTGTGTAAGTGCCCTGGTATGTATGAGTGCACTTGTGTATATGCACATATGTGTGCATGTGTGTTTGCGTGTATATGTGTGTTTGAGTGTGTTTGTGTATATATGTGTGTTTGTGTGAGTGTGTTTGTGTAAGTGCCCTGGTGTGTGTCAGTACAATTGTGTGTGTGCACATATGTGTGCATGTGTGTTTGTGTGTATACGTGTGTTTTAGTGTGTTTGTGTATATATGTGTGTTTGTGTGAGTGTGTTTGTGTAAGTGCCCTGGTGTGTATGAGTGCACTTGTGTGTGTACTTGTGTGTATATGTGTGTTTGTTTGTATGAGTGTGTGTGCGTGAGTATGCGTGTGTGTACTGGAATCTAACTCATGTCCTCACTCTTGTGGGGCAAGCACTTTGCTGACTGAATTGTCTCTCCAGCCCCTCAGTTTATAAAAGAGCAAACAGCACGGGGACTGTTGAGGAAGCAGAGACTGACCCTCACCACTGCCTTCTCTTCCTGCTTGGGTTTCCTGTGCACTTGGGTACGGCCACATCCCATGGAAGGTAGTCATGGAGCCTGCTCTCCTCTTAAGGCCCAAAGGGGATTCATTATTCTAAACAGCTGACTTCAGTCAAAACTGTCTTTGCTCCAACTTTCCAAGCAGGAAAATCAATCCACAGCTTAGAACAAAGTCTTCGGCAAACCAGAAACACGCTGGAGAACGGAGGAAATTCAGGTGTCAGGCATTAGAAATGCTGGCTGGTCCCTGGCCTCTCCTCAGGGAAGGGAAAATGTAAATGTATTAAATGCACCCGAGTGGAGGCCGAGCTGGGGCAAGCTAAAGGAGAAAATCTATACGGCCAGGGACTAAGTTAATGGAAAATGTAATTGAAGGGAATGATATGCTCCGCCTGTAGGTGGTACAGCCTGGTGCCCTTTGAACCCGGAAGGCGAGATACAAGGCCACTGAGGCCCTAAGGGAAAACGAGAATTGCTTATCTGTAGGAACAGGGGTGGGACTGAGCCTGGGAACGGAAAATCTGTGACTGTGGCCAGAGCCTCCTTAAAAGCTGCCGTGGAAGGGTGGGTGTTTGCTTTCGGCCACCTTTGAGTCCCTTTGAGGACATGAAATGCCCCCTGTGTCCCACAGCATCTGCCGCAAGTTAGGAGCCGCAGCCCCCAGGAGTGTGGGCTAAGCCTGAGGAAAAGGACTGCACCCAGGTAGGATGGCGGCACGTGTGTCTGGGCTGAGGGCTGAGGGCAAGCCCCCACCCCTTCCCTTCCAGGCCCTGCCTCCAGCTTCATCCCTCAGGCTGCCCGTGCTGTTCTACCAAGACTCCAGGCTTTCTTCTCTAGGAAAGCCAAGTAGCCAAGCCTCCCTGGTGGGTTCTTCACAGCTCTCGGAAGCTGTGCCTGGCGGGCTTCGGTCCAGCCTTTTCTCCCCTGGGCTTCGACACCAGCATCTGAAGTGCTGCCAGCTCTTAGTGTAGCCAGGTCAAGCTGTTCTCACTGAAAGTCCTCTGAGCACTGACCAGGAACTAGGCAGAGTGGTGGAGGGCTAGACATTCATCAAGAAAGGCCATGGCTTTCAGCCTGCGGGAAGGTAGCGTTAATGACTGCTGAGCTCCCTCAACTGGGAAGTTAGGAATGACTTGAGAGAAATAAGGTGAGGTGGTGTGTGTGCGCACGTGTGTGTGTGTGCACATGTGTATAAGTGTGTGTGTATATGCATGTGCGTGCTATGCGTGTATATGTGTATGTGCTTGTATATGTGTGTATATGTGTGTGTTTCTGTGTGTATGTGGAGGTGCGGCAATGGGGTAGATTAGGGAGCACGAACGCTGGGCTAGCGTCTCAGCCGGGCGTCTCTGGGCATCACTGGATCAAGAGGTATTGTGAGAAGAATTTTACAGCTGGTGACATTGTTGCAGCTCAGGCCTTCCTTAGAGAATATGAATGCTGTTCTGATTTACGGAGCAAACGCGACGGCGACGGCCCGAGCTCCCTTGGCTGTTAGCCACCAAGCCCTAGCCATCCAGCCCTGCCTTACACACATTGTGCTAACGCTTGTTCTACGTGTGGGCCTTGTACACAGCCCTCCCTCGCTTTGGGACTCCCTCTCCCTCTCTCGTCCCTCTTTCTTCAGCTTCTTCTCCCTGGGGTGTTCTCCAGAACCACGTGAGTGGTCCTGGAAGACGCCCCTCCCATTCCCACTGTACTCCAGGCGATGGGCAGGCCAAGAGAGGAAATTTTTCCTCAAACAGGGAGACCTAGACAGTCAGGAGGCCCTTTGCGATCTAGAGATTTTTTGTTTTGCTTCATCCACCCAGCCGCCGAGGACACCACAGGCCCCAGACAGATCACAATGGTGAAAAAGAAGCATAACGCTCTCCAGAAAGTTCCCCAGACACCCACACCCCAGAAGGGGCCCGAGATGTGTGCGTGAGCCTTGCCTGCTCTTGCCTCTCTGCTGAAGCAAGCCATCGTGGCTGCACGGAGGTCGGCAATTGTTCTCTCTGGAGGAGACACGGGAGGATTTACAAGGGGCTTCTCTGGCCTCTGACAGGGACGCAGGGGCTCGCAAGATCCTGAGGCGTGCCTCCCCCTGCTTTGCACAGGCGCACTTGCCACAACCCCGGCTGGGTTCTCTCACTGGGGACCGAGAGCTTATTTCAGATGTGAAGAGGTTTGTGAGGACCCAGGAAGGAATAACACTGGCCATGCTGCCTACCAGGCCTGTGGTTTGCCAGGAATCGGTGTGGAAGGAGGTGCAGGCTCTGTGGATGCTGGTTCTGGAGGATTCCGGTCTGCTGGCCCCATCTGCCGTTCATACTGTACGCTGCCACAAAGCTAACGGGCTCTTCTCTCTCTTCTCCTTTGTTTGGCCCACTGTACGCACTTGATTCAGATGATGAATGTAACCACAGTGCGGTTAAGTTCCTAAGTTAGTGGAAGTTCTGCTACCTGTAACCCATCGACCTGTCTGCTGAATGACCTCGTGGTTTTGAGTAGTACAAAGAGTATCCACCAGTCATCTTTTAAATCAAAGCAAGAGCAGCTGGACTTAGGTGTAAGAGAAAAAATTTAAGCAATAGATTTGTAACACAGTGGCCTAGCCATGAGATCCCCTGGGGAAGTTTTTAACTGTGATTCATTTTTATGTAAATATATGTAGCTGTGTGCATATGCATGCAGTACCAACAGTGGCCAGAAGAGGGCATCAGCTTCCCTGGACCTAAAGTGGCAGACAGCTCTGTAAATCCTACGTTCCAAACCCATCCAGTGTCGGTGCTGGAACTGAACTTAGGTCTTCTGCAAAGTAGTACAGGTTCTTCAACCACTGAGCCATCTCTCCAGACCCTGGGGAAGCTTCTCAAGAAGAGGTTCAGTTACTGGCCACAGCAGGCAAAGGTTGGATCTAGCTCAGTGTGGTCCCTATGCTCCCATGCCATCTCCCCAGTCCTGAACTATCTGAGTAATACCTACAGAGCTGATCGCTCCAGATATCCCTTCCAAACAACTCCCTTCTAACAAGCCTCTCATCAGTGTTAAAATTGTTGGGTTTGCTAACTGTATTTTATGGATATATATTAAAATACATGACCGTAAAAACTTAAGAGCCATGTGTGGTCCCTGATACCTGTAATCTCAGCCCTCAGCAGAATTGCCTTAAATTCAGTACTAGCCTGGGCTACATTGTTGAGTTCCAGGCTACTCTGGGCAACTGAGTGAGATGTTGTCTTAAAAAATCCCAAGGGCTGGAGAGATGGTGCAGCAGTTAAGAGCACCGGCTGTTCTTCCAGAGGTCCTGAGTTCAATTCCCAGCAACCACACAGTGGCTCACAACCATCTATGTGGGATCTGATGCCCTCTTCTGACATAAAGTCGT